TTCTCTGTTCTTTTCTTATTCTCTTACTCTCTTTTATATGTTGACTCGTAGCCCAGTGCACGAAATTTGTGCGGGGGGTGGGGGGGGGAGTGGGACCCTCAGTCTGGCCTGCACACTCTCCAATCCGGGACCCCTCAGGGAATGTTCGACTGCCTATTTGTGCCCACACTTTTTTTTTTTTTTTTAAAGAACCAGTTTTGCCTCTGTTGGCTTTTTTGAGTATAAGATACTATTTCATGGCCGAAAAGAGCAGCAGTCTTCCCAAGAATGTATTCATTTTTGTTTTGCATAGGTCATTTAGATTGTATTCTTGTTATTTATAACTAGTAGCCCGGTGCACGAAATTCGTGCACTGGGTTGGGGGGGGGGAAGGGGCCCCTCAGTCTGGCCTGCACCCTCTCCAATCCGGGACCCCTCGGGGAATGTCCGACTGCCTGTTTGTGCCCACACTTTTAACAGATGACAGCTTCATTGTTGTTTCTTTCTTCTCATGCTTAAAATCATTGGAATTAATAGGTATTCAAAGTGTGAATACATTTTGGGGAGACACCCTGTATATCTCTAGTCAGCAGTGAAAGGAACCAACAGCGGATTTGGAACCTCCAGACAGGGAACATCACTCCCCGCATGTCTCCCCAATTCATTTTCCACCTTCGTGAGCAGCAATGTTTTCTCTCATTAACTCGGAAAAGCACGCCCTGTCACCTGCTGCCCGGCAGGAGTGTGCTAGGCCCCAAGCAAGTGAGGCTCAGTCAGGGCAGCCTTCGCTCATGGTGCTGGCACCCAAAGTGCACATTCCTCCTCTACATTCACCCCGACTATCCCACTGTTTCACTGCGAGGACAGAACTCCTCACCACCTCTGGGTTATTGATCTTGAACGCTGAAAGAAGGCATCTCAGCCAGGGCTGCCTGCACCCACCAGGTATGTCTGTGTGCACCTGCTCCCTCCTCAGCGCCTGCATTAGCCCCACAGAGGTGATCTCGTTCCTGCCCTGGCCTCTGCAGGAACAGGGCATCACCACTGCGCCCTCTCACTGTCATCTCACAGATGCCCACCCTCAGCACCCAGAACACCCAGACACTCTCCAAAGGACGTGAGCGTGTTGGAGGGGACCTGCGCACATCCTATGGGGGATGTAGGCATGCTGGGGTTGATGGAAGTGCGGCGGAGGGGCGGGGGGTACTTGCGCACGCCTTGGTCTGGGACTGTTGCAGGCATGCAAGGGTGACAGTGTGCTGGGGGACGTTCGCACGCCAGGGCAAGAGGAGAGGATGTGTGCACCCGAAGCCTGTGACTTTGCAGATCCGCAAACCCCCGTGGTGCGGCCCGGAGGACGTCAATCTAGCCCGCCACGGTGGCTGTCCCTGTGTTGGCGCACTTTCTGGGCCAGGAGGCAGGACTTGCACAGCTACTCCTCAGCGCTGATGGCCTGCAGGTGCTACTTCAGGTCGGCCCGCAGGCTCCGCTTGGTGCACTCACGGCTGCCACCACCGCCATATGGGGAGTACAGGCCGCCCTCCGCCAGCTCGTCTCCCCTGCCCAGAGGCTCTCCGGGCGCGCTGCCCACAGGCCCAGAGAGGCCTGGGTGGTGGGGTGAGACGCCTGCCCACAGCCGCTCGGTGCCTGTGCACGTGCACACTGCCCACAGGCCCACCATTTTTGTCGGGTTAATTTGCATACTCACTCCTGATTGGCTGGTGAGCGTAGTGGAGGGACGACCAATTTACATGTTTCTCTGTTATTATATAGGATGACTTTCTGTAGATTTGTGTTTGGATTCCTTTCTCTTTATTACTTGTATATCTCTTGTAGATTTTTGGCTTGAGATTATGTCATGCTTCATATATGCCACAAGCTATGTTTATAGCAGTCTATTTTAAGTTGACAGTCCCTTAAGTTCACACACATTCTAAAATCACTACAATTTTTACACTCCCCCTCTATGTTTATGTTTTGGTCATTATTTTTTAGCTTCTATTGTGTGTTTCTCCTAATTTATCCTTGTAATTACACATGATTGTACTACTTTTATCTTTTAATCTTTGTACTAGGTTTATAGTTGGTTGAGCCACTGATTTTACTGTGTTTGCCTTTGTGAGTGGGCATTTTTCTATATTTTCTTACTTGTATTTTTTATCTTTTCTACTTAAAGAAGTTCCTTTAACATTTCTTGTGATACTGGTTTAATGGTGATGAACTTCTTCAGTTTTTTCTTATCAGGGAAGCTCTTTGTCTTTTGATTCTAGCCTTGCTGGGTAGAGTAATCTTGGTTGTAGGTCTTTGCTTTTCATCACTTTGAATATTTCATGCCATTCCCTTCTGGCCTGAGATGTTTCTGTTTAGAAATCAGCTGACAGTCTTATGGGAGTTCCTTTAACTGCTTTTCTCTTTCTGCTTTTAAGATTCTCTCCTTGTTTTTAACCTTTGGCATTTTAATTATGATGTATCCTGGTGTGGACCTAATTGGGTTCATCTTGTTTGAGTCTCTGTGCTTCCTGGGCTTGTATGTTTGTTTCCTTTGCCAGGTTAGGGGAGTTTTCTGTCATTATTCGTTCAAATAGAAGTTTTCAATCCCTTTCTCTTTTTCTAAGAGCTGTATGATGTGAATTTTGTTTCTCTTGTTGTGGTTCCTTAAACTATCCTCATTTTTTTTTAAATTCTTTTTTCTTTTTGCTGTTTTAATTGGTATTTTCTACTACTTTGTCTTCCAAAGGTATTTGATTTGATTCTCTGCTACATCTAATCTACTGTTGGTTCCTGCTAGTGCAGTGGTTCTCAACCTTCTGGCCCTTTAAATACAGTTCCTCATGTTGTGACCCAACCATAAAATTATTTTCATTGCTACTTCATAACTGTAATGTTGCTACTGTTATGAATCGTCATGTAAATATCTGATATACGGATTGGTCTTAGGCGACCCCTGTGAAAGGGTTGTTCGACTGCCAAAGAGGTCGCGACCCACAGGTTGAGAACCGCTGTGCTAGTGTATTCTTTATTTCTAATACTGTACTCTTCAGTTTTGACTGTTTTTTGTTTTTGTTTTTATGTAGGAGACATATACTATACTTAACCTCTCCGGTAAGGTTGACAGTCCTGAGAACTTTTTTAATGTAGCATGTTATGGATGTTTTCCTGCTCCCAAAGGAATGAGGAGCAGACATATTTCCACATGAAATGTGACGTTTTAAAAAAACGTTTTCTAGCTCTTTGTGTAAGTTCTCACTGAGTTCACCTACTCTTTCCCTAAGTTCATTGAGCTTCCTTTAACCCAGGGTTTTGAACTCTGCCTCTAGTGTATTGCTTGTCTCCATTTTGTTTCGTTTTTTCCTGGACTTCTTTCATTTTGGACATGTTTCTTTGTCGCCTCATTTTGCCTGCCTCTCTGTGTTTGCGTTTCTTTCTGTGACATCCCCCAGTCTTGGTAGAGTGGCTTATGCAGTAGGTGTCCTGTGGGGCCGGTGGTGCAGCCTTCCTGCTCACCTACGTCTGGCGTTTCAGGAGTCCCTTGTGTAGGGTGTGTGTGCCCTCCTGTTGCAGTTGCACCTTGATTGCTGCTGGCCTGTCCGGGGGTAGGGTTGGCCCTCAGGCTGACTGGCTCTGAGGGCTGGCTGTGACTTGAGTGAGCGAGCTGTTTTTCAGGGGTGGACCCCACAGAACGGGGTTTGCTTTAGCGAGGCTCTGCTGTGCTCTGCAGGTGGCCACTGGGTTTGTTGGTTCTGGGGCCTCTTAGGAGGGCTGTGGTATCGGCCAAGGTAGGCACCGTTTGTGACGGCTCGGGTCCCTTAGGAGAAGCTACAAAGTGATCTGCATTTGGTCACCACTGGTGCTGGGTTCGGTGCACTTGGGAGAGGCAGTGCTGAGAGCCCAGACTGGCTGCCACGTGTGCTCCTCCTGTGGCCCTTTAGTTGAAGCTACATCCAAGTCAGTTACCGGCTGTAGCGGATGCCAGGTTTGGGCCACCTGATGGGAGTTACAATGCAAGTTGAGACCAATTACTGCTTGTGCCGGGCATGAGGCACTTGGTAAGAGGTACAGGGCACTCCAAGGCCAGCTGCTGCTTGTTTGAGGTTTGTGGGCCTCTGAGAAAACGTAGGAAAGTCCTCAGCGTGAGCGAAGGCAGGCTGCTTATGTGGAGGAGCCGCTGACCGAGGCTCTGGCTGGGTGAGTGTGTTGGGTGGGACACCTCCATGGGGTGAAAGGTGTTAGCCAGCTTAATGGAGAGCTCAGATTTAGCACCCCCTGTGTCACAGTGGCACCTGCCAGCACTTCTGCCCCAGCTCTGCCCCTCAGGCCATGTCCTGAAGCTAGTCAACTCAGGTCCCTCTGTGTGTTCCTGGCACTTTCCAGCTGCTACCCAGTCCTGAAGCCCACAGTGCGTGTTTCTGGGTGAGTCTGTGCTCAACACTTCAAAGCAGCCCTCCGTCTCACCTGCACGGGGTCCCTGCTGAGTTTCATAACCAGCTGTTTTGGGGGCTCCTCACCCCGGCGCTGGCGCTGTGGCTGGGGGGCCTGGTGTGAGCTGGGGGACTTGCACCCAGGAGCTGTCGCCACATGTGGGCGTGGGGCTAGTCTGTTTTGGTCTCCGCCCCTCCTGCCAGTCTCTACATCATTTCTTTTGTATATCCTTATCCTCAGTTATGGGGGTTCTGCTCAGCTAGCTTTCAGGTGGCTCTCAAACGTGGTTGTTGTGTAATTTAGTGGTAATTGTAATGTGGCCGTGGCGAGCATTGCTGCTTCTTGCCTCACCATCTTGACCAGAATTCTCTGAATCGTTTTTAAAACTTCCCATGGTCCCAGTTAGTTCCCTCCCGAGTGCTGTGATCATGGCTGTGGCTCAGCCAGCCTCCGTTCTGGCGAATTGTTACTGTGAGTGGTCAGAAAAACCCTTCCAACTGGTCATCCTTCCCCCAGGTGCAGCTCCCACCCCGTCTGCACCCATGGTATGGTGGTTTCTCTCTTTTGGGTGCCGATGGATGGATTATATATTGGCTGTCATTATTGACTCCAGGAAACATGTAGAAAGAAGATCAACAACTGTTTGTCTTGGGCTCCTCCCTCCCAGAGTCCCAGAGCAGCACCTGTTACGGAATGGGCACAGTGGAGTGTCGGCTGGACGGTGACTGACAGGCCAGGCCTTCCGCTCTCCCTTACAGATTGAGTCTGCGGACCTCACGGCTGGCTCCCCCCTAGTATGGCCAATGAAGAGGATGACCCAGTCGTACAGGAGGTAAATGCTGTGCCCAGGCTGCAGGCAGGGGCTGGGTTTCTTCTGCCCATCCTCCAGCCAGACTGGGACCTCTTTCCCCAGGTGCCTGCCTGGCTGGCTCCCTCCCTCTCTCCAGGTCTCTGCTGGCATCTCCGTGCCAGAGTGGCTTTCCTGACCAGCCTGTGGTTGTGTGGCCTTCTGCACACTGCCCCTCGGCCCTAGCCCTCTGCCCCTTACCTCGGCCTGGCCTTGCACTTGGCCACAGCACTTAGCCCTAGACCAGGGGTGGGCAAACTTTTTGACTCGAGGGCCACAATGGGTTCTTAAACTGGACCGGAGGGCCGGAACAAAAGCATGGATGGAGTGTTTGTGTGAACTAATATAAATTCAAAGTAAACATCATTACATAAAAGGGTATGGTCTTTTTTTTTTTTTTTTTTAGTTTTATTCATTTCAAACGGGCCGGATCTGGCCCGGGGGCCGTAGTTTGCCCACGGCTGCCCTAGACTTAAGTCTCCTTCTGCTAGATGGAAGCTTGGAGAAAGTAGAGTTTTATGGGTTTTTAAAAAAACATTTTTATTGAGAGGAATATTTTTATTAAATATAGAGAGGAAGGGAGAGGGAGAGAGATAGAAACATCAATGATGAGAGTCACTGACTGGAGATCGAGCCCGTATCCCAGGCCTGTGCCCTGACTGGAAATCGAACCATGACCTCCTGGTTCATAGGTCAGTGCTCAACCACTGAGCCATGCCGGCTGGGAGAAAGCGAAAACAGAGGTTTTATTCTGTTCACCGTGTCCCCAAAGCCAGGTTCAGGTCCTTGGACGTAATAGTCAGTGGCATTATTTGTTGAACGAAGGAACGGGTCTGCCATCTCCCCTTCACTTCACTGGGGCTCTGAGGACAGTGAGCCTCGGGCAGGAGGGGCTCTGGGAGACACTGAGGAGGCGGGGTCTCAGTGCCGATGAGGACACACCCTAGAACTCTGGGCTTTTGCACATGCTGTTCCTCCACCAAGAAGGCCCTGCACCGCCTCCCCTGCGCCTGGGCCCTTCACCAGTCCTCCAGGCCTGGAGCCGGGAGAGTAGGTGCATGGTTCCTGTGAGGAGCTGGGAGCAGGCAGGGCATGGTGGGGCAGGGAGGTTAGTGTGAAGAAGAAAGAAAGTCGGGCCAGGCAGTCTCCCAAGGGGCTTGCAGGCCCCTCGGTGTGGCCAGGGCGCTAGGCGGATCCAGGCTGGGTGGTGGAAGGCACCCCCCCCCCCCCCCCCCCCCCCCTGCATCTGCATCAGAAAAGCATTGGCCCTCCTCTGGGCAGCCCCAGGGAAGGCAGTTTATTCAATTACAGTGAACCTGGGTAGGGCCCTGGGAGCCTGAGGGAGGGGCCCTGGCTGTGTCCAGATTGGAGACCTGGTTCCCTTTGGTGTTAGCAATGGCTGAGCTCTCCCTCCAGCCCCAGACTGCTTTGGGGCCACTGCCCCTCACACCAGCGGGCAGGGCAGCCCTGGGTCTGTCTCCTGGCTAAATCTTCTTTCCTTGTCCCCAGGTCGACGTGTACTTGGCCAAAAGTCTGGCGGAGAAGCTCTATCTGTTTCAGGTAATTGTGGGACCTGGAGGTAAAGAAGGAAAGCAGGTACTGGTGGGTGGTGGACGCGCAGTGGGGGGAGTGGGGCCAAGAACCCTGGAGACCTCCGAGGGTGATAGGACAGCTCTCTTCGTTCTCGTGGGTGGGTTACATAGTCTCTCATTTCCAAGATGAGAGAGCAAGGCAGCCCAGAGGCAGAGCCGTGGTCTGGCTAAAGCTCCGCTTCCACCTAGCTGCCAGCCCTGGGTAAGTTCCTGCATCGCTGTGCCTCAGTTTTCCTATTTGCAAAATGGTGAGAGTGTTAATTCCCGACTTGGAGGGTCCCCATGGGGATTAGAATGCTACCTGGTGCAGAGCTGGCACTAAGTTGACAGCCACCGATATTACCGGGCCCCTCCCTCCCGGATATCGTGGCTCACAGTATTGAGCGTGGACTGTGCGCTGACCTCACTTCAAGCACTTAAACTCATTTATCCCACAATAACCCTGTGTGCTTATTGTTACTGTAATTTTGTAACAGCTTTATTGAGATCTAATCTACACAACATATGATTCCCCCATTTAAGTGTATAAAGCAATGGATTTTAGTCTGTTCATAGGACTGTGCAGCCAGCACCACAGTTTATTTTAGGACGTTTGTCCCCCTCCCCATTCCCACCTGCAGCCCTAGGGAACCATCACCCTATTTTGTATATATGTATATGTATGTGTATATACATATATATTTCATTGATTTCAGAGAGGAAGGGGGAGAGAAAGAAACATTAATAATGAGAATCATTGATTTGCTTTCTCCTGCACACCCCCTACTGGGGATCAAGCCTGCAACACAGGCATGTGCCCTGACTGGGAATCGTGTGACCTCCTGGTTCATAGGTTGATGCTCAACCACTGAGCCATACCAGCTGGGCTAACCTATTTTCTGTCTCTATGAGTTTGCCTGTCCTGGAATCACACAATATGTGGCCTTTTTTGTGTCTGGCTGTCATGATTTGGCATGATGTTTTTGAGATTCACCGGCATATCAGTGGCTCATTCCTTTTTATGGAGGAATAACCCCACAGTGTGGGTCTGTACGCAGCACGTTTTGTTTATCCGTGCATCAGTCGGTGCTGTATTGGCTCTCACGTGTAATGAACGCTGCAGTGCCCTTCCCCTGCAGGTGCCTGAGTGGATATGTGTTTTCATTGCTCTGGGGTGTATCCCTAGGAGTGGGTTTACTGGGTCACATGGAAGCTCATCGTTTTGAGGAACTGCCAGACTGTTTTGTACCATTTTCATTCCTGACCATCTGGTTCTTATTTAAAGTATTTTTCCCCATGTTGCATACAATAAAACGAGGCACAGGGAGGCTATAAGTTGTGCACGGGGCCTGTCTGGGGTGGGGCCTGGGACAGGGCAGCAGCAGCGGCACTGCAAGCGTGTGCCAGGGTAAGGGCTGGCATCTGTGCCCCCAGGCTCTGCTTTTGTCAGCTTTGGGGCTGGGCCCTCCCTTCAGAACCTGCGCCCTTCACCACCATTCTTTCCAGATGGGCTGGGCTCCAGCCTCCAGCCCAGGAAGCAGAGAAGGTCGCCTTACTGCCACCGGAGCGGCTTCTAGGAAGCGTCATTTCCTTGGCTAGATGCCATCCTGACGTGGCCCCGCAGGAGCGCTCACCTCGCACTGCACAGCTCCCAGGCTCACTGGCGGGGCCGCTGTGGGGCTTTCGGAGAGGGCGTCCAAACATGACTCGGCCGTTCACTCAGTAGCGTATTTGTGGTGGAGGACAGAGAAGTGCGACAGTGAGGATTGACATGGAAATATGGCCCTAGTGCAGTGGTCGGCAAACTGCGGCTCGAGAGCCACATGCGGCTCTTGGCCCCTCGAGCGTGGCTCTTCCACAAAATAGCACGTGCGGGCGCGCATGTACAGTGCGATTGAAACTTCGTGGCCCATGCGCAGAAGTCGGTATTTTGTGGAAGAGCCACACTCAATGGGCCAAAGAGCCGCATGTGGCTCGCGAGTGTGTTCAGAGCAGTACCTTAAGGTGTGACATAAAAATAACGTCACACGTAGCGACGCTGCGGCCCAGGGGGCTCTCTGAGGTCAGTGGCAGACAGCTCCGTCCTCTGTCTTCATCTTTCCGTTCCGGGAAAGTCCCTCCAGAGCAGGAGAGACTGCGGCGGTGCGTTCCCGCGTGGCCTCGCCCGGCTTCGGCCTGAGCGGCACTTGGCCAGTCTTGTTTTCCCTCTTGGCTCCCTTGGACGACCTCCCTTTTGACTCCATGCGGTGCTCTGCGGGTGCCAGAGCCCACAGGGTGATGTGCGGCTCTGGGTTCCTGAGGCTGGGGCTTGCCCGTGGGAAGTTGGAGGCCTCTGAGCAGTTCTTTGGAAGGAGGCCAGGTGGAGCCAGTGAGAAGGGGAGGCTGCGGAGAGCGGGGGCTGGGCAGGGAGCACTGATGCCTTCCTTCCCTCCAGTACCCTGTGCGCCCAGCCTCGATGACCTACGATGACATCCCGCACCTCTCGGCCAGGATCAAGCCCAAGCAGCAGAAGGTGGGCTGCCCTCTGTGCTGGAAGGAGGGCTGGTGGGAGCTGGTGGAGGCGAGGATGGTCCTGCTGGGGGCTAGGAGAACAGCCACTTGCAGGGCTGTGAAAGCTGAGGAAGGTGGGCAGCTCCAGAGAGGCCTGGAGGAGGGAGCCTCCAGGAGGGAAAGGCCTGGGGGCAGGACAGCTGGGAACCGCCTTTCCGAGAGAAAGTGAAAGTAAGGTTTCTATGAGAAGTCTCTTGATTTTTAATTCAGCTGTCGGCCTCTGGGGGTGTGGAGCTGTGGGGAAGGGCTGACAAAATGACACGACCCTCTCCCGCCTCCCTAAAACCACTCTGGCCTTTTCTGTTGGAATTTGGGTTTGTGGCCTGTGGTGTAGACGGAAGCTGAGCCCCTGGGGCGGGACAGGTGCCCTGCTTCCCGCAGGGCCAGGAGTGGGGCAGTCGGGGGTCCCCTGAGGGCTGTGCCTTGGAGTCCTCATGGCTGGTGGGGGTGCTTGGTGCTTCCAGGTAGAGCTTGAGATGGCCATCGACACCCTGAACCCCAACTACTGCCGCAGCAAAGGGGAGCAGATCGCGTTGAATGTGGATGGCACCTGCGCAGACGAGACCAGCACCTACTCCTCGTGAGTCCCTGGCCTCCTGGCCTCCGGGCCTCGAGCTTCACTCTGTCCAAATGTGCCTGCTCAGGGCTCAGATGTCGGGGCCTGTGCCCCAGAGCTGGCTTCCGGCCCCCTGCCTCCCACCTTCGAGTAGCGGGCCTGGTGCAGACCCTTCCCCTGGGAAAGGGCTTCCCCGAGGTGGCTCCTCCCACCAAGTCCTTCCCGGGGCCCTGAGGAGTGTAGGGGCTCCCACCCCCTGCTTGTCACCTCAGCTTCCCTCTGGCTGCACATGTAGCCTGTCCTGTGGGCTTGGTCCCTGGCTGTTGGGTTTCAGAAGGCGTCTGAAGTCGAGGGGGCTGTGCCTGCCAGGCCTGGGGCTGGTGCTTCCCCCCTGGACACCCGTTCTCCCTGTGCTCCCAGGAAGCTGATGGACAAGCAGACATTCTGCTCCTCCCAGACCACCAGTAACACATCCCGCTATGCTGCTGCGCTCTACAGGCAAGGTACTGAGGGGGTGGGAAGCGGGCTGGGCTGGGGCTGGGAGGGGCCTGCTCTAGCCTGGTGTCCAGCCCCTCTCCCCCAAATGCTAGACACCCACAGGGGCCAGGCAGCTTGTGCAAATGACAGATTGTCACGGCTCCAGAGTCGGCTGTCAAGGACTTCCCGTTAGCCGCAGCCTGTCCTGACAGGGATCGGGCTCCAGGGCACACACAGCATAACTTTCGAGACAGGTGGTGGACTTGTTTTAAATACAAGGTGCCATTACAGGCAGATCTGCCCGAGGAAATGAAAGCTGTGTTTACAGAAAAACTTGTACCTGCGTGTGTCTAGCAGCATTATTCGTGCTGGTGAAACGGAGCGTGCAGCTGTCTGTCCATGAGCCGGTGTGGATGGCAACATGGTGTAGCCACTCGGGAGCATTCTCAGTCACCTCAGAGTGAGGGGCAGACACCGAGGAGCCTGGAGGGCAAGGCCCCACGTTTGTGCTCCCATTCATACGAAAGGTCCAGAACGGACAGATGCACAGGGACAGAACGCAGGGGCGTGGGTGCCAGGGATGGGTGGGGAGTGACTGCTGCTTACAGGTTTCGGCGCGTGATGGAACGTTCTTAAATTGATTGTGGTGCTGGTTGTGCAGTTCTGCATATGTTAGATAGAACACATTGAATTGTATCGCATGTGAATTACATTTCAAACCTGCTAAAAAGTACAAGGTCTTGTAAGTATTTAGAGTTTATGAAGCAATAAGTGAAACTAATGTGAATACTTAGCAAACAAAATAGAATAGAATCAAAAGTAGCATCAAGTAACTCTTCTACATGTTTAACATCACCTTCCTGGCAGCCAGACGGCCACTCAGTTGCTCTTTATGTGGAGCGTCCTGCTCCCTCGGGGCCTGGCCTCTGGTTTCTGCTCTCCGAAGCCCACGGTCACCTGTAAGATAGATGGTCTCTGCACTGCCTCCCAGGAGAAGCCATGGCCTTCATCAGAGTGTGGGCTCCTCTGCACTTCAGTAGCTAACTTCTTAATGGGACGGTGGGATTCTGGCAGGAAGAGGCGGAGGATGAGGGACTCTCGGGTGTGGGGTTAGGGAGGCCGTGAGGGTGTCTGACCGAGGCCTGGCGGGGAAAGGCGTGTGTTTGTGGATTGGTTGCCTGGCGTGGTGGGAGCAGCAGTTGACGGCAGGGGCTGGGTGTTGGTGGAGGAGGTTTGCAGGCAGGCATTTCGGACGTGGCTGAGTCAGCGTTCCCGTCCTGATCCCGGTTGTGTGCTTGCTGTGTCCAGCAGGGCCGGGGTGGCTGGGAGGGGTCGGCCTGGTGGTCCCAAGGCCCTAGGATCAGAGGCGGGAGGTGGTTTGCCATTGGGCCAAGGCCTTCAGTGGAGTCCGGGGCCCTTGGTGCCTGACTGCCTTGAACCAGGCGGGGGGGTTGGCTCAGTTCCTGGAGTCAGGTGGAAGTCCTTCCTCCAACAGGTGAGCTCCACCTGACGCCTTTGCACGGCATCCTGCAGCTTCGGCCCAGCTTCTCCTACCTGGATAAGGCCGACGCCAAGCACCGGGAGAGGGAGGCAGCCAGCGAGGGTGAGCTGCCCAGCCCTGCCATCTATCTCTGACTAGGCGGGAGGGGCTGGCCAAGGGAAGAGTATGGAAGGGATGGGTTACAGATGCTTAGCAGCACCCATGGCCTCTGCCCACTGGGTGCCAGTAGCACCCACCTCCCAAAATGCCTCCATGCATTTCCAAACGTCCCCTCGGGGGAAACTTGTACCCCATTTTGAGCCACTGACATGCATCTACCTGGGGGTGGGGGTGGGGGTGAGGGCGGGAGCGGAGGTCTCCAAGGCTGTGAGCAGCCTGTTTCTCTCGCAGCGGGGGACTCTTCGCAGGACGAGGCAGAAGAAGATGTGAAGCAGATCACGGTGAGCTCCAGCCCCAGAGGGAGGGTGTGGGCGGAGGGGCAGCAGGGCCACTTTGCAGCGCAGTGGTCTGGAGAGCAAGGAGCAAGGGGGTCTGTGCAGAGGGTGCACTCTGGTGAAGCGGATGCAGGAACAGCCTGCTCCTCAGGGCCCTCTTGCTGGGCTGCCTGGAGGGACCGCCGAGCCTCTGCCCTGCTGAGCTATCCCAGCGGTGGGCAGGACGGCGGCCCTGCATGTGTGGGAGATGGCATCCTGGCTTCCTGGACTTGTGTGGAGAGGAAGCCAGGGCATAGGGGTCCCATGCACATGCGAACATTGTCTGCCATGGGCCACAGCCCTGTGTGATTGTGTGATTCTGTCTCCAGTGGTGCAGGTCTGAAGCGCTTCTATCTCAATAGTTATTCCTGCATTTCAGAGATTGTAGGAAGAATCTTGACCTTTCAAATATTGACCTTATAAAGTCTCCCCCATTTAAGTTTATTTAGGTTAAATGAGTCAGTATTTAAAATACTGCACAAATGACATGGATGGTACATGGGTGGCTAAAGCTGTGGGTGTTTGCATAGCCTTGGAGGCTGATGGGTTCTGGCATAACCAACATGGGGGATGCATGTGTCCTCCCAGTAGCTTGCTGGATGACCTGGATACCTCTTTCCCCTCCTGGGTGCTCTCTGGCCCTTTAGCCGGGCGTTCTCAGGCCTGTGTGCCTTCAAGGCCTCCTGTAGGACCTCAGAGTCCTGCAGCCCAGGCAGTGTCCAGCGCCCCTTTCACAGAGAGGTGACTCGGGCTTGGCTCCACCTGGACCCCAAGCAGCAGATGCCAGATGTAAATGGCGTGGGTAAGAAGGGTTCTCGTTACTGAAAGTTGAGGGGTAACTTCGGGTATGGCTGCATTCAGGTGCTCAGACTCTGTTATGAGACCTGGTTTCTCCATCTCTAGGTGTAGTCTTCCTCTTTGGCCTCTTTCTCAGGCCAGGTGTCTGTCCCCAGTGGTAGAGAGAGTTGTCCCAGCTCCAGGCTCACATCCTCCCAGCTTCCAAGACCCCGGGGGAAAGGAACGTCTTTCTCATTACTTCTGAGTAAAGTTTCAGAATGGACTCCGAGGTTTAGCCGACCCTGCACCAGTCCCTGTGCTCTAGGGGATTTGCTCAAATTGCCCAGGTCTGAGCCGCCTGCCCACCGCTGTAGCTGGGAATGTGTGTTTGAGGGGAGGGATACTAGGTAGGAACTAAAGGGGAACTGGTGTTTCTCATAGGAGAATGGGGGTATTGCCACCAGGCAGAGTGGAAACGGACTGGGTGCGGGCAGGTGGTGACCCTGAGAAAGCTGCCCCCTGGCCTGTGTTGGCAGGTCACAGAGGGACATGATCAGAACTGAATTTAAAAGACCTGTGAGGACATGAGGGGAGGGTGGCTGTGGGAAGTACCCCCGATGTGGCCTCCTGGGGGGCTGGGACCGCAGCCCAGGAAGTGCCCAGGCCATCATGTCTCCCCTCCTGTCCCAGGTGCGGTTCTCCCGGCCCGAGTCGGAGCAGGCTCGGCAGCGCCGCGTGCAGTCCTACGAGTTCCTGCAGAAGAAGCATGCTGAGGAGCCCTGGGTCCACCTGCACTACCACGGCCTGAGGGTGAGCGGGTCCGGGGGAGCCAGTGCCAGGAAGGACTGCAGTGTGGCCTCATTGTGTCACCTCTCCCTTACTTGAGGTTCAGTCGTGGCCACTTGCTAACACCCAGGGCGAGGGGATCACATCCTGCAGGCAGTGTGTCCTGACTCCAGTGTCCACTCTACCCCAGAGGGAGGCATGGGCTGCCCCTCCGGTCCTGGTGTGCCCCAGCGCCCCAGCGTGAGCAAGCCTCTTGCTGGGCTTGGAGGGGGCTTCTGTTTGCTTACCTGTCTTCCACGCACTGTGGGCCCTGAACCTCAGGCAGTTGGCCATGTCACACGGCCCAGGTCGCCGTGGAACTGCCGAGGTGACTTACTGTGCTCGCTTTCATCTCGTGCATTGACTCTGGGACCTAGTTCTTGAAATTGTGTGGAGGAGGGAAGCAACTGAATATTAGCTCCCTGCACCCCACAGGCTAGGGCTCCCAGCGTTTTTCTGGAACCTTCCTGGGAGAGATTTGTGTTGACAGAGCCTTTGCCTCAGGGTCAAACAGCTCTGCTGTTTCCTAGTGTGTGACCTTGGGCAAGTTACCTAACCTCTCTAAATCTGTTTATCTATAAAATGGGAATAATAATAATAGGCCCTGACTTGGCATTACTTTGAGGATAGGTGAGTTGGTGTTAATTACGGCCTTTGGTACAGAGCCTGGCACACAGTAGGTACTCACTGAATGCTAGCTGTCATTGCTTCTATGTTCCCGTGTCACAGGCAGGCCCTGAGGCACCATGCTGGGGCTGTGCAGCCATGAAATCTGTCAGGTAGCTGCTGAGGGGCAGCACAGTGGGTGGTTAGAGCGGCAAGTGGTGAGAACTGGATGGTGGAGGGCTGCGGGGCTTCAGCTGAGGTGTCCCCCCCCCCTTTCCCCCCGCAGGACAGCCGTTCTGAGCACGAGCGCCAGTACCTGCTGTGCCAGGGCTGCAGCAGCGCCGAAAACACGGAGCTCATCAAGTCGCCCAGGTGGGACTGGCACTGTGGCCCCTGGGGGAGCCTGGGGAGCGACGTGGGAGGGCTGGGCCTCTGGCTGCTGGCGAGGAGGCTTCAGCCGGGGGACTGCCGCTGACCTGCCCTCTCCCCTCCGCAGTGAGTACCTCCTGATGTTGGTGCCGCCCAGCCAGGAGGAGGAGAAGTGAGTAGAGCGGGCTGGGCAACACCAGGGCTCTGCCTGTGTCCTCTGACCAGCCTCTGACCCGCTGCCCGTGTTCCTAACAGAGACAAACCTGTGGCCCCCAGCAACGTCCTGTCCATGGCCCAGCTGCGCACCCTGCCCCTGGCCGATCAGATCAAGATCCTGATGAAGAACGGTGGGTGCTTGTGGGTGCTCATTGGACCCTCCACCTCCCGAGTCGGGGACAGACTGAGGACCAGGGGTGAGGCCAGAGGCTCCTTCTGCCCTCTGCTTGGAGCTGCCCAGTTTTACAGTTTCGATGGCACCTGGTGGCCCCTTAAGGGCTGGGCTCCCCACACCTCCCCTGCTGTGTGAGCACCTTCCTGAGCCTTAATTTGTGAATCTATGAAAAGGGACTGGTAGCTCCGGGGGCTGCCAGGGGCTGCTCCCGAGCCCTGCCCATGACCATTAGCTGCCGTCCTCAGCGTGCTCACCTGCGCAGTGCGTGGTGCCCACGCAGGGCGGGTCTTTTTCTTGGAGGATTCTGCAAGCCAGAACGTGTGGGCGCCTGGAGCCGATGAGCGGCAGACATGAGCCTTGAACCTCAGAGCTGAGTCCCAGGTCCTGGGCTCTTCTTCTGAGATGCCCACTCCAAGGTCTCTGGGGCCCGAGCAGAGCAGAGCTCCTGCTGTGCCTGGGGCTGCAGAACTGAGGGCCTTCCCCGGCCCGGCCCGGCCCTGCTCACTTGGGTGGGGGGCTCAGGCAGTTGGGGTGAGCAGAGCACAAAGGTTAAGTGCGTGGACTCTGGACCCCGGTGACCTGGCGTCTCATTCCGACTCTGCCGCTGACTAGCCAGGTGATCCTGGGGCAGTTTTGAACCTCTGGACCTGAGTAGAATGGCGAGTGTCTCCTGACACTTGGTCTTCCTCATGGGCATAGCCTTCAGGATCCACGGAACCGTGTCCTGGGTGTCGCTCACGGGCTGGGCTGCTCTTTGAGCTGGACAGGCAGACCCGTGGGGGACAGGGAAGGGCCCAGGCTCCTCTTCCCTGGTCTGATGTCTCTTCCTCCTCAGTGAAGGTCATGCCTTTTGCCAACTTGATGAGCCTCCTGGGCCCCTCTGTGGACTCCGTGGCTGTTCTGCGTGGCATCCAGAAGGTGGCGATGTTAGTCCAAGGAAATTGGGTGGTGAAGAGGTAAGTTGTCTGTAGCCCCTTAATGGGAGCACTTAATCCACTTATGTTTAATATGGTTGCTGATATTTGGGTTAAATCTGCCTGCATTGCATTTAATATTCTTACCTTCTCTTTCTTCTTTTATTCCATTTTTCCTGCTGATTTGGAAGTCACCCTTTCGTAACTGTTTTAATGATTCCCTACAGATTTCAGCATGCACTCGTGACTTGTCTCAGTTTATATTAATTGCTGCTTTTTGCCCTCATCCAGGATAATTCAAAGAACTCAGAATGTTTTACATTTATCTTCCAACTCACGTGCTGGTGTATAGTGTCCTTCTCTCTACTTTAAACCCCACAAGACATAGTATCTGGTTGGCATTCTTTCGATCTGCTCACATATTTGCCTTTGGATTGTGTTCATTATTTCTGTGTCTCTCCGAGCTCCTTCTGCTAAGGAGTGCTGTGGCGGTTCTCCAGTGGAGCCTGAGGGTGACCGTCTCTTTCAGCCTTGTTCTTTTTTTTAAAAAATATATTTTATTGATTTTTTACAGAGAGGAAAGGAGAGGGATAGAGAATTAGAAACATCGATGAGAGAGAAACATCCATCAGCTGCCTCCTGCACACCCCGCTGGGGATGTGCCCGCCACCAAGGTACATGCCCTTGACTGGAATCGAACCTGGGACCCTTCAGTCCACAGGCCGACGCTCTATCCACTGAGCCAAACCGGTCAGGGCTCAGCCTTGTTCTTGAAGGAGACTCCCCACTGGGCATAAGGCCCAGCAGCCCATGTGCTTTCCGTACTGTGTTCTGGCCGCCAAGCCCACTCCTGTCGAGTGTGCTCCTCGGAAGGGCCTCTGCTCGGTCCCCTCTGGCTGCTTTTAAGATTCTCTCTTGCTTTGGCTTTGCAGTTCACGAAGGTGTGTCTAAGGGCGAACTTTTGATGTGTCCTGTTGGGTTTCATAGGTCTTAAATTTATGACTTGATGTCTTCAGCAGTTTCTCTTTTCCTGAGATTCCTCTCCAGTCTGTCTGCCTCTTGCATCAGACTGTCAGTTTCAAGGGGGTGGGACTGCCTGTTGACTGACTCCCTTACGTCCCCAGTACTCAGTATAATGCCTGGCACAGAGTAGACCCTTGGTGAATACAGTGTGGCTACCTACATTTTATACACATTTGAATTATATGAGTTCTAAATGGTATAATGTACACACTTTTTAGAAAGTGTGATATAAAGTGAAAAGGCTGTTAAAGAGTGAATTGTTACAAATTTTTATAAAAGTAATGCACTGTGGCCCTGGCCAGTGTGGCTCCGTTGGTTGGAACGTCATCCCATGCACCAAGAGGTTGTGGGTTCGATACCTAGTCAGGGCACATACCCCGCTCTGGTCGGGGCGCATGCGGGAGGCAACCAGTTGATATTTCTCACATCGATGTTTCTCTGTCTCTCTCTTCTCCCTTTCTCTCTCTCTAAGACCAATTAAAAAAAAGCAATTCACTGCAAAAAGTCCATGAATACCCATTTGATTAATTATAAAGTATATTCATGTCATGGCCACAGGGTGGCGCCCTCACCCTGGGAAGCAGAGGCCCTGCATATGCATTCGGTATCTTCCTTCTCGGTGCACATCACTCATTAGATGGGGCCTGGTGTTGTCACCCATGCACGAGAGCCAGGGGCCATCCTGTTATACACTGGAGGACATTGGCCCAGAGAGAGAGACACTGCCAACCCCTGGCAGTGAGGCTGCCACGGCTGGGGTTGCAACTTTGCCCAGCACCACAGGTGCCCCTGGTGCGGCCGCCCCTTTCAGCTGGTGGTCTGTCCCTGTGACTGGGCCTTTGTGGTCTTTGGGTCCTGCTGTGGTCTCTGCCCTGGCGCTGCCCTGGCCACCCCAGCAAGGCCTGTGGCTCCTTCCGCCCTGTGGCTCCTTCCGCCCTGTCCCTGTTGTCCTGTGAGGGGATGATGCAACAGTCACACATTTGTCCGGTGTGTCTGCTTGTCCTGGGCCCTACAGGGCACTGTCATTCACACGCTGTCCTGACCTCCGATCTTTGGGGCCCGAGCGGGCACAGAACGTAGAGGTCCGGGGCCTGGGCCACTTTCATTCCACACCTGCTTAGCAGCGACCTGCTCTCTGTGGTAGCAGTGAGCACCCAGGGCCAGGTCCCTGTCCCTGTCCCTGTCCCGAGAGTGTTTATGGGAAGGTGGGGGCACGGAGCTCAACCTCAAGGATGGGTAGTAGCTGGTGGCCAGGTAGGATTGAGGGGGTGGGGCAGCAGGAGCAGAGGTGGTGTCGGGTGGTGAGTGTGTCCTGGGCAGCAGGCCTGTGAGCTGGGGAGGGTTGTGCTGTGGACATGCGTGTAGAAAGCCTCACGCCTGCGCATTTGCCTCGGCCCCGAAGTTCTCTGAGCCTAATGCTGGCCCCTTCTCTCAGGCTTCCCCCCACTGGTGCTCAGGGCCTGTCCAGGTCCCGGCCCTGCCCCTCACCCCCTCGATCACTGATCTCTCTTGGGCTTGCATGTGCTTTCCACGTGGGACCCACTGTTTTCCCAGAGTCTTGGGCTGGCCATGTCTGCGTCTGAGCCCCTGGCCCCTTCATGTCTGCGCAGCGGCCTTGGGGCTGGGCCAGTTGTGGTGGGCGGGGGAGAGGAGGGGGTCAGGATGGGGTGGGAGGGCCCAGCCGGTTTTGCTCAGTGGTTAAAGCGTCAGCCTGTGGGCTGAAGGGTCTCAGGTTTGATTCCAGCCAAGGACACGTACCTCGGGTGCAGGCTCGATCCCCGGCCCTGGTCGGGATGTGTGCAACCAGTGGATCTCGATCCATCTCTCTCTCTCTCTCTCTCTCTCCCCCCCACACACACCTCCCTTCCACTCTTTCTAAAAATTAATGGGGAGAAAATATTCTCAGGTGCTCAGGATTAAACACAACAACAAAGACAAAAATGAACCTAAAAGCTTTATTTCTCTCAATGGATTGGAATTCCTATTTGTTAAGAAAAAAAAAAAGAAGGGGTAGGAAGAAGAACTTGGGGTGGGGAGGGGAGTGTGTTTCTTTCCTACACATGTTCACAGAGCCAGGCTGGGATAAGCGGGGCTCTAAGGGGGGGCTGCGAGGCCTGGGCAGGGGACGGGAGGCAGATGGGACTGAGGACAGGGACTGACCGGCCACCACTCTCATTGGCAGTGACATCCTGTACCCCAAGGACTCCTCCAGCCCTCACAGTGGTGTGCCCGCCGAGGTGCTCTGCCGGGGCCGAGACTTCGTTGTAAGTGCCAGCCTCTGGCGTCCGGGTGGGGGTGACGGTGCTGTGGGAGGAGGGTGGGGGCAGCACAGGGCTTCCGAGACCTTGGCCAGGGCAGCCGCAAAGGCCAGGCCTGTGGGGCCGGGGCAGGGCCGGGCAGGGGCTGTAGGGTCCTGGCGTTATACAGACCTTTGAGTTCCTCTCGCCGAGGCTTGCAAACCTGAGGATTCTGGCCAACGAGCTTCATTTGGCTTGAGTGGTGTTCTTAAAATGTTGCCTTGGGGGTTGATTTTTGCAAATCAAAATTATGATACAGACCAGATTTCTAGCTCATCTTGAATAATTGGAGAGTCTGGTGGGACTGGCCCACAGCCAAACAGCACTCACTTGGGACAGGGCTGACGGTTCCCAGTGCACATGGCGCTGGGCGTGTCTGCTTCTCTCGTGCGTGTTCTGGCCTGGCTGTCTGGCTTTTGCAACTCCCGAGCTTGGTCATCTCCATCCCCCACCCCACCCCTGCCCTTATCCAGAACCTCAGTGCCTGCCTCGGCAGAGTTCTCTCGGTGCCAGTAGAGTTCTCAGGGTGCCAGCAGTGTTCTCGGGGTGCCGGCAGAGTTCTTGGGGTGCCGGCAGAGTTCTCAGGGTGCCACAGGCGGTCATCTCGGAGCGCCCACCGGGCTGTGGTTTGCTTCGTGCAGGGCGGCCTTAAGCTGAGGAGGGTCTGCATTTCCTCTTCCCAACTGGCTGGCCCAGCTCTGTGGCGGTCAGCGCCCAGGTGCTGTGGCTTTATCTTTGGCTCCGGGGGTCAGAGTGCATGCAGCGTGTATCCACTCCCAGGTTCGCTCACCCTGCACGGGTACCTTTGGCCTCCGCTGCCTGCCAGCCCTTCTCTGTTCCTGCAGACGCCATGCAGTCTGGGGCCTGGTCAAAGCAGAGTTCTCATAGGTGACAGGCGGGCAAGACCTCTCTGACCCGGTGTCTTCGTGGTCTGGGGGCCCGGGTGGGGAGGTCCAGCTGCCTGTTTGAGGAGACAACCTGGGGGTCCTATACGAAGGAGAAAACAGGGTGCAGAGTTGAAGTGACCGCCCACGGCCAGATCCACACCCACGTCGGCCCGGCCCTGGCTCCCAGGACAGCGGCACAGGTTCGGGGCCCGTCTCAGGAGCACCACCTCTGCCTCCTGGAACATGCTTCTCTCCCCCGCAGATGTGGAAGTTCACTCAGAGCCGGTGGGTGGTGAGGAAAGAGGTGGCCACAGTGACAAAAGTAAGTGATGGTCTCCATCTGGCGGGAGGGGGCTGGGGGCATTGGGGGCTGGCCGGCCTCACCCTTGCCCCGCCCCCAGCTCTGTGCGGAGGATGTGAAGGACTTTCTGGAGCACATGGCCGTGGTGAGGATCAACAGAGGCTGGGAGTTCGTCCTGCCGCACGACGGGGAGTTCATCAGGAAGCACCCCGACGTGGTCCAGCGGCAGCACATGCTGTGGACGGGCATCCAGGCCAAGTAAGGGCTCCCGGGTGGACGAGGGGCTGTGTGCCCCCTTCCCACTCAGGTGGACATTGCTGGCCGACCCCAGAATCCCACAGAGGCCTGACACCGCCACTCGTGGTGGCCAGAACCTGCCTGTCATGTGAAGGGGGAGGGGAGCGCTCAGGAGCCAGCGCCAGGGCTTGTGTGCCCACAGGCAGGCCGAGCAGCGGCTCGGGGAGTGGGCCTGGCCCGCAGGCAGGGCCACAGTGCTCCCAGCACACAGTGTCTTCAGTCACCAGGCTGTCCCGGGGTTTGGGGTGGTGAGATGATGGGGATGTGGTTTAGAGTAAGTGTTGACTCTTATTTTCAGATTAGAAAAAGTCTATAACCTGGTGAAGGAAACCACGCCAAAGCAGCCGGATGGACAAACAGGTGTGCGGCGATCGGCTGGGCAGGCCTCACCTCACAGCGGGCTCGGGGCTGGGCCTGGAGACAGTATGTGGGGCTCTTTCCCTTCCCACCGACCTCCGCCGCGGGCAGAGCTGCAGCCTCACAGACCAGGCACTTCTGCACTTGCCCCTGACACCTGCTCGCTTAGCTCTCTTGGGGAGGCAGGAGCGGGAGGAGGCCCTGGCAGGAGCTCAGCACTAACCCATCCTGGAGCTCTGAGCGTGGGAAGCTGGTTTTTCCAGTTCTTTCTTCCCTCATTGCTGGGGTAGCTCAACCCACTTGGGTAAGGTGGGAGTGAAAGGCAAGGTGGGCCACCTGCCGCAGCCCAGCTGGCCTGCACTGTTCCTGTCCCCTGTCGGGATGGAAGGGATGGTCCTTGGGGTGGAGAGGCGTGGGCCCCCTCTGCCCGATCTCTGCGCCCTCCTGAGCAGCCTTCCTCTCCGCACAGGGCCTGCGGGGCTGGTGTCTGGGGACCAGCGGGTCCAAGTAGCCAAGAGCAGGGCCCAGCAGAACCACACGCTGCTGGAACGGGAGCTGCAGCGGAGAAAGGAGCAGGTCAGGGCGTCCGCGGTCCTGCCTGGTGTGCAGATCAAGGAGGAGCCCCTGAGTGAGGAGGGAGAGGAAGAGGAGGAGCAAGCCATGGAGGAGGGCGAGCCCATGGACACCTCACCCAGTGGTGGCTTCCACAGCAGGCTGACCAATGGGCTGCCTGTGGGGTGGGCCGTAGGCGGGGACGGCTTCAATGGGCACCTGCCCCCCAGCTGTGCCAGCACCCCAGTGGCCCAGGAGCTGCGGGCCTTTGTGGAGGCCACCTTCCAGAGACAGTTTGTGCTCACGCTGAGCGAGCTTAAGCGCCTCTTCAACCTGCACTTGGCTAGCCTGCCCCCTGGCCACACGCTCTTCAGTGGCATCTCGGACCGAATGCTGCAGGACACGGTGCTGGCCGCTGGCTGCAAGCAGATACTGGTGCCTGTAAGTGGGGCCCGCACCCTTGGGGAGCGGGTGGGTAGAAAGGGGCCCGAGAGAAAAGTCTGGTCACTCCAGAGTGGCCTGAGCCCAGCCAACTTTGGGGGAGCCAGCACGGGGCGTGGGGACTAGGGAAGACCACTGACCTGGGTTCGCATCTTGGCTCTCCTGTGAGGTTGTGCGTGACTTGGGGCCAGCCAGCCTTGGGCCCTGCACCCTCTTCTAAAGTGGGCGAGTTCGCTTTTGTGTCACAGGACTCGGCAAGGGCTGAGTGAGATGTTGAGCGTACACCTCACTGCCCGTCCTGGTTTCTAGCACCCCCACCGGCACCTCAGCTCACTCCTGCCAGCCTTGGCCTTTTTAGGGTGATTTCTAGTATTGCTGGTCTTTGCACCCCGCAGATGAAGAGACTGGGTTTCAGAGAAGTGGGATGAGCCTGTTTAAAGGTCAAGTGCCCAGGAGGTGACAGCTGGATTCTGAACGTCAGCATAGTGGCTCCAGCTCCTAAGTCCTTTCTGCTTCTGCTAAGATGAGCTGAGCTGTTCACCAGGCCCCGGCTTGCGGGGGAGCCCCTTCGTGAGCGTGGAGAGTGCCAGGCTGTGGCCTCGGGGAAGCAGGGAAGCTGGCTGGCTCTTCTCTCCTCCCAGCTCCCAGGCTCTGCCCGGACCTAGCAGCCAGCAGGGTGAGGTGGGCTGCACTGCCTCTTAGTGAGGGGGCGTTGATGTTTGCAGTCCGAGGTCAGAGCGCCTGCAGCCTTGGGTGAGCTGAGGCCGAGGCCCAGGCCCATCTCTCTATTTGAGGAACAGAAACTAGGCCAAGAGGCCCTGGATGCCGGGGTGGCTAGGCTGTCCCAGGGGAGTTGGCCCTCATGGCAAGGAGCCTCCTTGGGTATGTCTCATACAGAGGGGCTGGGGCCTGGGGCCATGCCCCCTCCCCCCTCCTTGACCACCCAGCAAATGGGTGCCGTTATCTGCGGGGTCACCCTTCTCTGAGCTGGGCCAGGCTATCCTGGGCGGCTGGAGGGGACACAAGGCGAGGGACACGGAGAGGGGTGTCTCCTCTCCCCTCGCCCCAGGACCTGCTCTTGCCGTGCTTCCTCTCGGGAGGGCTGGTGTCCGGACACTGTGGCCTTCTCTACCGCTCGCCCGCCGCCCTCCCCCTC